GTAAACTGTGGTCAATGACATGAGACAAAGTATATGTGAACTGCTGTATGGAAAGTGAATTTGCTCTGTAAATCTTCACCCAAATGAAAATCTAAATAAATAAATAAATAAATAAATAAGTGCACAAATATACTTTGAATGACTGAGTACCAAATCATAAAATATCTGGAAAAAAACAAATTACAGAAAGCATCTTCACTTTTCAATCCCATTCAAACTGACAGCTTCCTGGGTCAAATAAGAATATCTTAAATCAATTTTAAACAACTGAAAACAAGACCTAGTGTCATAGAGCTGAGGATGTACTGAAAACACAACATCAGAAACCAATTCACCAGGTTTCTTGGCTCCAACAAAGAGGAAATTGCAAATGAAGAAGACTGTTAGAACCTTCCTGAAGGAAGATATGACAAGAAAGAACCTACCCTGTCACGACAGACCGGAGGAATCTAGTCGCTCTTTCCACAACCTCTAGCCACACAGAGGACACGGTGCTCTCATCAAAGAGGGAGGCCTCGGGAAGCGCTCGCAGGGCATCCAGGGACTCCTGCAACAGCTCACTGCACAGGTCTGCATCCTCACCTGGGCACACACACATTTCAGAGGAGGAGATATACTCCTTAGCTGCACTGATCAAAACCAGGATGTGAAGGCCACCTACACCTCAGCTTGAGAAACACCACTGTCACATTTTCACTCCCTCACTTCTCTTCTCCATGATTTACTCCAGTAACTCAAGGGACTAAAACTGGATAGTTATCTCAAAGTCGATTATATAGTTTATGGCTCTTACATGTACAGTACTAACTTCTTATTCTTCCAGAAAACAAGTCAGTGCTTGAGAAACTCTACTGCACTGGTTTACTTAGAAATGGATGTGTGCACACATACTTTATTAAAGAAGCACAGATTGAAAACCCAAAAAACTCTAGTCTCTTACTGTTCAGATTTAAAACACAAAAAAAAGAAGCATAGAAAGTGTGGAGCTGTCCAAAACGGGGAGGCACAGAGCTGAGAAGAGCACCTAGTCTCCAAATGCATTAGAGAAACAGAACATCATGCTGGGGACACTGAAATAATGTACCTTACCTGATCGCCATGCTCTGCGTAAGAATGCAAAGGCAAAAGAAAGGGCTGCTCTGGATCCAACTCTCGCCAGTCCTTCAACTCCTTTGCCCGTGGGTCGGGAACTGTGGCCAACACACACAAGGGAGTTGTGTAATTGGTTAATCAAATGAATGTGCAAATATTAAAAGAGGAAAAATAACATGGAAAGATTTATGCCAAAATGTTATTAGTGAGTTTGTTTTTTTAAGACAGCAGCATACGTCACTTTCTCCCTAAACTCTTATCAACTGTCTTTCATAAATGAAGTTTTTTTCCCTTTTAAAAAAGAATTTACAAGGAATTTTAAATGACTTAGAAAAAATGCTCAGTCTGGGGAGCGAAGATGATGAAGATAACAAGCACATAAATATATGAATGGAGAGGGAGGTATCATGTAGTGAAAGGGGCAGGTGAGCAGTAAAGAACACAAAAAAAATCCTACAACACACACTGAACATCAAACATCGCCTGTGACGCTGCCTATTCTGGACTGTTCATACCTAAGGATCTACAGGAAGGATGGGTTTAAAGCCCTCTGAGCTTGTCCTGTTCCTTCTCACTCCCATCCTGTGAGGTCACGCGTCTCCCGAATTGGGTATTTCATCACCCTCAGGTGTCTTTTTTAAAGTTTTTACTACACACACACATATATATATGTATACACATATATGTATATATACACATATATATAGCCACTCCTCAGAAGGAAGGTTGGGCATTCCAACTTCCGTAGTGATACTGCCTCGGAAACCCAAGGAGGGGTCACTATGAGTCGGGGCCGACTCAATGGCAAATAACAACAACAACAACATATGTAAATATACACATATGTGTATATATGTGTGTGTGTATATACATATATATATATGTATATATGATAACGTAATAGGACTTCATTTCATTATTTTCTAAAGTTATACCAACGGTACCATTAAACTTATCCTGCAAAGAAAAAAAATACAAAATGTTTAGAATACATAAACATAATCATGCATTTAAAGTGATTTTCCTTTACTCTGATTGCATTCTCCAAATTTCATGCAATTTATAATTCCATAATCTGAGGAAAAGAACTATTAGTTAATAATATGAAATTACATCCTCAAAATACAATGTCAAGTAAAATTAGTAATGAAGGCCATGAAGTCCCTTCGGGAGCACCCAATATGCACAATTCTGCAAATACTTAACAGTGCACAGAACAGCTCAAGAGGAGACAAAAGAAATGGCCCACAGAGGCTGCCTTTGAGGAGGGGACTGGGTGCCGGGCAGACAGGACTAAGGAAAACTAACCTTCATTTTTGAATGAGAAATATGAACCACACAGAACACATATGTAAAGAGAACATCACTCTTGAACAAGGGAAGTGTATGTATACAGCACTGGTAGCACTTCAGAAAAGGTATGAGGACGGCCTGAAAAAGAGTGTACTCTGACAAAGCTGCCCCAGAGGACACTTGAAGCTTGAGCTCCTTGCAGCAGCAGGCACCCTGTGCATGGAAAAAGAGTCCTTATCCCTGAGCCTATACACTATGTTACATTGTTAGGTGGTATGAAGTCACTTATGACTCATAGCAATATTATGCACAACAGAACAAAACTCTGCCCTGCCCTGCACCATTATCACAGTTCCTGCTATGCTTCAGCTCATCATTGCAGCTATTGTGTCAATTCATCTTGTTGAGGGTCTTCCCCTTTTTCACTGATCCTCACTTTACCAAGCATGATATCCTTCTCCAGGGACTGGTCCCTTCTGACAACATGACCAAAGTACAAAAGACAGTATCTGGCCATTCTTACTTCTAAGAAGCATTTTTGATGTACCTCTTCCAAGACAGATTTGTTCATTCTTCTCCCAGTCTACAGTATTTTCAGTATTCCTTGCCAACACCACAAGTCAAAGATATCGATTTTTCTTAAGTCTTCCTAATTCACGATCGAGCTTTCACATACATATGAGGTGACTAATAATACCATGGCTTCTGTTAGTTGAACCTTTGTCTTCAAAGTGGCATCTTTGCTCTTCAACACTTTAAAGAAATGTTTTGCAGCAGATTTCCCATTACATATGACTTCTGATTTCTTGACTGCCCCTTCCATGAGTGTTGACTGTGGATCCAAGAAAAATGAAATCTTCAACAACTACAATCTTTTCTCCATTTATCATGATGTTATTTACTGGTCTAGTTGTGAGGCATTTTGTTTTCTTTATGTTAAGGGGTAATCCATACTGAAGACTCTAGACTTTTATCTTTATCAGTAAGTACATCAAATCATCTTCACTTTCAGAAGGCAAAGCTGTGTCATCTGCATATCCAGATCATTACATCCTCCAATCCTGATGCCATAATCTTCTTCATATATTCCAGCATCTCAGATTATTTGTTCAGCATACAGGTTGAGTAAGTATGGTGAAAGGATGATTTTAAACCATGCAGTATACCCTTGCCCTGTTTGAACAACAACATCTTGGTCTATGCACACGTTCCTCATGGGCACAATTAAGTGTTCTAAAATTCTTGTTCTTTGCAATGTTATCCATAATTTCTTATGATCCACACAGTCCAATGCCTGTGTATAGTCAATAAACCAGAGGTAAACATCTTTCTGGTATTCTCTGCTTTCAGCTAAGATCCACCTGACATCAGCAATGATATCCCTCCTTCCACATCCTCTTCTGAATTCAGCTTGAATTTCTGGCAGTTTCCTAAAAATGTACTACTACAACCGTTTTTTTAATTATCTTCAGCAAAATTTTACTTGCATGTGACATTAATGATGTTGGTCAGTAATGTCCACATTCTGTTGGATCATCTTTCATTGGAATGGGCACAAATAGAGATCTCTTCCAATCAGCTGGCTAGGTAACAGTCTTCTAAATTTCCTGACACAGTCGAGTAAGAACCAGCACAGCTGCATCCTTTCCTTGAAACATTTCAGAATGTATTCCTCCAATTCTGGAAGCCCTGTTTTTTGGCAATTCATTTACTGCAGCTTGGACTTCTTTCTTCAATACCATTGGTTCTTTGATCATTTGCTACCTCCTGAAATGACTGAACATTAATCAATTATTTTTGGTATAGTGACTGTGTACTCCATCCATCATCCTTTGATGCTTCCTGCATCATTAAATATTTTTCCCATAGAAACCTTCAATATTGCAATTCAAGGCTTGAATTTTTTCTTCAGTTCTTTCAACTTGAGAAATGCTGCTGTGGTTACCTGGTACCTTTCTGACAGGAATATACCACAAATGGGATGGCCTTAACAAACAGGAGTTTATTCTTACAATTTGGAGGCTTTAAGTCCAAGTTCAAAGTGCCAGGCTCTAGAAGCTGGGTGAAAGCCCCTCAACCTTGAGGTCCAGCTCTGCCTCCTGCTCCTGGCCCACTGGAGCTAGAGGTGTTGTGTTGGCTGCTGAAGCTGAGAAGTACCAAGGTTGACAAGTAAAAAGGCACAGTCCCGATGTTACCAAACCACACGTTAGGCCATTAACTTAAGTCCATTTTAAGTTCTACGGTCGGCAGAGCATAGCAGGCTTCTGAGCAACAACACAGCTACAGGCAGAGTCCAAGCATGTCATAGACTAGAGACCATTCCCAAGATTTCTCCTTATATACAGGAAGCAGACCACATCCCAAGGAGCTCTGGTAGCATAGTGCCTAGGCACTTACTGCTAACCAGAAGGCTGGCAGTTCAAACCCACCAGCCACTCCTCAGAAAGAAGGTTGGGCAATCTACTTCCGTAGTGATACACCCTTGGAAACCCAAGGAGGGGTCCCTACAAGTCAAGTCCGACTACCGACTCAATGGCACATGACAACAACAACAGACCACATCCCAAAGGCAGCTACTCAGCTGCTTCTGGTAGATCCCACCATGGAGATGATAGCTAGTCTCATCTTGGGGAATAATTACCACCAGCTGCCCAGATACTCAACAAGGCCCAGCCAAGCTGACACACAAACATAACTACCACAAATGCTGAGCAGATTCTTCCCTTTTGTTTTTCTAACACCAGATCTTTGCACATTTCATTATAATATTTTACTGTCTTCTCAAGCCACCCTTTGAAATCTTCTGTTCAGCTCTTTCATTTCAGCATTTCTTTTATTTGCTTTAGCTACTCTTCATTAAACACCAAGTTTCAGACTCTCTTCTGACATTCATTTTGGTCTTTTTTTTCCCCTGTCTTTTTAAGGACCTTTCGGATTCATCATGTATGATGTTCTTGATGTCATCCCATAACTCAACTGGTATTTGGTCACTGGTGTTCAATACATCTAATCTATTCTTCAGATGAGATATAATCTAAATTCAGGCGGAATAAAATTAAGGTCATATTTTGGCTCTTGTGATTTTAATTTTCTTCAGCTTCAGCTTGAACCTGCAACAGGAGAAATTCATGGTCCATTCCACAGTCAGCCCCTGGCCTTGTTTTCTTTTTTTTTTTATTAGGATTTGGGTGAAGATTTACAGAGTAAATTCACTTTTCATACAGCAGTTCACATATACTTTGTCTCATGTCA